AAATGATTATTTTAGTATTAACTATTACCAAAAGAAAAAAAAATCAGTGTTCTGCTTGCCACCCTTGACATGTCATGAAAAACCTTAAAAAAGTAAATGCAATATAGAAATGTGTTTTTATCCTCCTTAGTAAGATCAATAGATCTTGTGTCTCTCCTGCAGTTTTAATCTTATTGAATTATCTCCAGTTCTGCATTTTAAGATAATGACACACAGTATAATTTTAAATGATAGCTAAATTAGGAACAGGAAAGACCAATAATGGATGGACCAGTAATACACTTGTAATTGGTAGGTTGAGGACACAGATGGGAAGGATCAGGATTGGGGATCCATTTTTGGTTTGCTAGGCATGGGGTGGGGAGTAGGTTACATATAGGCAAAAGTCCTCAACTAAAACTGGAAATGAGGGAGATGATTTGATACAGAGTTGGACCAGTGGCTGGTTATGGCATCAGAGCAAGGGCACTGAGGTCAGCATCAAAGCAGTTAGGAAGGCACTGGCCACAGTGGAATTTGGTACCTAGACGGAGGTCAGTCTCTGTAGAGGCAGCCCCGGTAGAAGTCTGGGCAGAAGACATGAAGTCTGAGCAAGCAGGGAGAATGCATCCAGGCAGGGAAATATCGCAAGATCCAGGTGCGTATGTGCACACCCCAGTGCTATCAGTAGTGTGGCCTGTTTCCATATTCCTCTGTATAGGTAGCATTCCTGGCCTTTCACTGGAAAACATTTCCTGCATGGCAGTGAGTGTCAGGTGAGATCTTAAAAGAATAAAAGCGATATAGAAATGTGTTTTCATCCTTGTTAGTAAGGATCAACAGATCTTGTCTCTCCCATGGCTTGTTTCTTACCAGATTGTCTCCACTTGGTACTAGGGCTGCCATAACAAAGTACTACAGTCTGGGTGTCTAAAACAACAGAAATTTATTTCCTCACAGTCCTGGAACCTAGAAGTCCGAGATCAAGGTGTTAACAGAGTTGGTTTCCTCTAAGACCTCTCTCCTTGGCTTGCAGATGACCGTCTTCTCCCTGTGTCTTTACATGGTCTTCCCTCTGTGTGTATCTGTGTGCTAATTTCTTCTTCTTATAAGCACAACAGTCGTATTGGATTAGGACCCACCGCAATGACCTCATTTAGCCTTATTTCCTCTTTAAAGACCGTATCTCCAAATACAGTCACATTCTGAGGTACTGGGAATTAGGACTTCAACTTAGGAATTTTGAGAGGACACAATTCAGCCCATAACAAGCACCTCATATGAGTAATCATGAAGAGTCAGTTAGAAGTAGTGATTAATATTTAACACTTACCTCTGAACCAGAACTGAAAATGACATGCAGAAGATAAACAGGGCAGGTGTCTCTGGTGCATTTTGATGGGGATTTCTTCTAGTGGCCCTCACGGATGATGCATGACATGGTTGTGCATCATGTGGCATCAGAAAACAACAATGTTTAGGATAATAGCCAAATCCATACTAAACTAGGTGGTGGGAACAGAAATAATGCCCACAGTGATGTCACAATCTAGCAGAGATGGGGGTGAGGGGACAGGGAGGATATAGACAGAACTGTAAGTGTCACGGTGAGTCGTAGGTATTCAACTGAAGTCAGGACTGCGAACGGTGGAGGAAGGGAAGAGGGGGGTGATCAATTGAGTCTACTTGGAGGAGGAGGGTCAAGACAGGCTGGAGAGAGGAAATGTTGCTTGCTGAGTTTTGGAAGGGGAGTATTTGTCAGGCACACCTACAGGGAAAGGCATTTCAGGAAAGTGAAGCCATCCTGGGAAAGACCCAGAGCTGGGAAACAGCACTGAGCATTTGGAAGTCGCAAGTGCTTTAATGTGGCAAGACCTAGGGCGAGATGGGCCGAGCGGTGAGATGAAGATAGAGGACCATGATGCTCACATAGGACCTTATCCAGTGAGTTAAAGTGAGTTAAGGGGTTTGGACTTGATACAGGTAACGAGGGAATAATTGTAGTAGACAGATACATTTAGGCTATCTGCCCTGTGTTCAGTCCCATTGTCTTAGAATTTCTTTCCTGCATTGCTATCGCACCTGCAGTTGGTCAGTACCTGGAAGCCACATGAATACTTCTTGCCCCCATCTTTTCTCGGAACATAACTAGTTACACCATGGGTGTCCACCTGACTCAAGTCAGTCCCGCCAATCTCTCTCCCAGGAGTTTGGAATTGGGATTGGGAGACTGTACTTAGTTTGGACTACTCCTTTCTAAATTTGGGATTGGGTCATGATGTGTGGGCATTATCCATAGAATATGGCCTGCAGGGAGAGAAGAATGGCGTGGACGTGCATAGATGATGGCTCCTACATCCCCAGGTGTAGACAGTGAGCCCACAAGGACAGCTGACAGCTTCCTCTTGTGGTCCTGATCGCAGCTCTGGGGAGACCTGGCCTCACTTCCTCCATGGGGCATCCTGACAAACTGCCATATCCTCAAAGTAAAATTGCCTTTCCCTTAAGGTTTTCAGCAGCTTTAATTATTGCAAAGAAAAGAAGACGATGCTGGCAGCTGTACTGTTTTGTTTGGTTGGTCTCAATTAGCACATGTGGAGGGCTATGTCCTGCACAGAAGTCTTCTGGTTTTAAGAGTGTATAGACCATTCAGTTCTCATTAGAAAGTTCTAATGGTTTCAGGGAGCCTAGCATTCTGAGATACTAGGACTGAGGATGTGGTTTACAAACATTAGTAATGTAAATATTAGAGCCATAGTAAGAAAATACTATCTTGGTGGGATTAAATTTCTTGTGGGAAGGAAATGGAAAAGCTCCCAAATCAGGAGGAACGTGTTTTGAAGGGCTTTGTTTGTTTCTTTGCTTTCACTGGCTGCTGTGCAGTACAAAGGTTGGTTTTTTAAAACATTCTTATTTTTGAGGGAGGTGAGCTTAGTAGCAACCCTGTAGCTATGAAAGCTGTGTTAAGTTTTATTTTAACAATTTCCATGTGCCTTGCATTCTTCTGTTCTTGTAGGTTGCTCTTCTGGACTGTGCGCAGAATTCAACAAAACCTGCTCAGTCGAGTCTGTATGAGACCAGAGATGTGGAGGTGGCTCGCTGTGGGGCACTGGCCCTCTGGAGCTGCAGCAAGAGTAACACCAATAAAGAAGCCATTCGGAAAGCTGGGGGCATTCCTCTGTTGGCTCGGTTACTGAAGACTTCTCATGAAAACATGCTAATTCCGGTGGTGGGGACGTTGCAGGAATGTGCATCAGAGGTACCCAAGCCAGTTCCTCTTTGCTTGCTTCTTACTTTGACTTTCTTTAGTCAAAAAATAACTCTTAAGGTTATCATGACAGCTAAGGATTCTTTTCCCCCAAGAAGTCAGCCTTCTATTAGAAAGAGAAGATCAAACTAATGGTACATTAAGTAAATCAGTACCTGTATGATATATTTTCAAAATGTTGACTAATTCTCTTATTGTTATAAAGATATGTTAAACTTAGACTTTGGTGTTTATTTACCCAGAAAGTTTGTTCAGCGTAATTATTAATAAATGTAAATCGATACTTCTGTTCATGCATTATATACACATAAATATTTAAATTTATATGCCTAGGAAAACTACCGAGCTGCAATCAAAGCAGAAAGGATAATTGAAAATCTGGTGAAGAACCTAAACAGTGAGAATGAGCAACTCCAGCAGCACTGCGCCATGGCCATTTATCAGGTGTGACGAACTCTTCCCGCAGTTGTGGGTCTCCTTTCTCGCAGAGTTCAGATTAGTGTTTCTAAACAAGTGGTCTCTTTCTCTGGGACGGATTCAGGAATCAGCATTTTTAACAAATACCCTAGTAGATTTTCATGCACACATGGGTCTGAGAACTGCTGTCCTGTGGTAATGACAGATACTTGTATATGTTAGAGAAAACTGCTGCAGCATGTGGGATTATTAACATTTCTAGAAGTCACTTATATAGCTTTCTCTGTCTCCTAAAACAACTTACTTAGTGTAAAATAGATAAATACAAGGATCCTTTAAAATGTTTCTGGAAACATTTGTATTATCTTTCAATTCTATCCTTCCACGGACTTTTGAAAGTACCCTCATAAGTCCATGGTACTCCTACACTGCTTTTCCTTTTCTTTTTTTTTTTTTTTTTTTTTTTGACATAATTATAATTTGACATTATAATAATTATATATTTGACATTATTATAATACAGACACTGTTATAAGTATGGTACATATATTATTAATTTATTATTTTTTTATTGAATCAAAATTGATTATACATATTTTGGGGGTTCACTATTGAGATATGTTGATCAAATCAATATTACTAGCATATATATTGTTACAAATTGTAATTA